TATATCAGTAATAGTATCATAACGTTTGAAAATGGCAAATTATTATTGTACTTTAATCGTACTGCATTCAAGGTTATTTTGAAATTGATTCATATGATTGTGTCTTCATTACTAAGAAATTCTTTATTATCTTTAATGTGATATAAGACATTGATATGGTTTATTAAAGTGAATTTCTAAAATGAATCAAAAAATACCTTATCGAATATTCATACCTTGTTTTCATAGTCTTTACTATAGTTTTATTTAATCATGAAAAATTATTTGACAACTTAGTATTATCAGTATGGGGTTGTGAAGATTATTAAGTTTTTGATTGAGATCATGAACCGATTGATGTTAGACTACCATTGAAAACTTGGAAGCACTGGACAGCCGTTTTGATCCTATTGTGGGGCTCCTCAGAAGTGTTCACATCCACGATCCCGCTCGCGGGATTCAGATCCAGGGCCTTCGGTCTCACATGAGAACGCTTAATTCCGCGAGCGGGATCGTGGATGTGAACACTTCTGAGGTGCCCCACAATAGGATGAAACGGCCGTCCAGTGCTTCCAAGTTTTCAATGGTGGTCTAGCATCAATCGGTTCATGATCTCAATCAAAAACTTAGTATTAAGAAAATAAGCCTAAGAGATAGCATTGAAAATTAAACAAATGACAAATAATATAATTCATTGTGAAATTACTGTCGGTTTATTGAACTATTTGTAATCATAAGTATCTTGCTGACGGTCATACGGATACTGACTTAAAACATGAAATAAGGCAAAGATGTTCAAATAATGATCTTTTTTCATAGAATGAGAATAAACCATATTCAATAAAATCTAAGACCTATTACAAGTCTGAAATCCACTTCGTTCTATTACTGAACTATTCGGTCATCTTCTTCATTAAGAATTGATGTATCGACTGATGACAGTTGTGCACTAAGTACTGATTGATGTTATCTACATTAAAACGTTTTATAAAGCTCTCAATTCACTTCTAATTATTCGCCTAATGTTAAATTAAGCACAGTCATACTTTGTAACCATCAGTGTTTACTGTATTATACAACCATAAAACTGAAATGAAATAACTAAATAACAATGAATTTGATAGTTCAACAATTTGATATATAAAAATGTTTCTGTGGTATGTTCTACTGATGTCGACAGATATAAGTAGTATGTATCACCAATCAAAAGTGAAATACCTGGAGATAGAAGGTTAAGAAAATTAAAGAAAAGAGAACGAGGACAAAGAATGATTGATGTGCAAACGAAAGAACAATAAAATCTGAAACGATTGATTGACATTGTTTGTCTGATAGCTTGTGGATTTGAATATTCTATGATATTACACGCTATCCTGACATTTTAGAAGATCGAAGACAAAAAATCGAAGTGAATAAAAATTTAACGACTTTTCAAGCAGATTTAAGATGGTTAAATAAAGTGCATAGTAGGTTTTTTTTCAAGCTTTTACACAGTGCTGAATATCCAAAGTATTTTCGATAATCTCCTTGATTTCAGGAGAACATCGTAGACAGAGTAGAATACATGAGTATTGTTATATGTAAGATAATTAGAAGCAGTATTCAGGAAGTCGTAAATCTAAACATAAATAATGCTGAAAATCATCCGAAAGTTTTCAACAATAGTAATAATTATTATTTATAAAAGATGAATTGTACCTGGTTATGGAATTCAGGATGTGTGTTTTGTCTTGCTCGGAACTCGTCAGTTGGATATATCTGGATTCTGGTGTTGATTATCTCAATGGATTTCTAGCTCAATAACTTTTACTCCAAATGCCAATGTATCTGATAAGCTACTGAGTAAAGATAGCCACTAGCTTCTTCAACGGTTAAGATATTTATAGCATAGGGTTGATATTTGAAATGAAAGATACTGCATTAGGGTCCGTTTGTGAGAATCTAAATCGGGATTCAGTTATATCGAACTAAGGAATCCCATATAGGATCAGACGAGCATTCTGGATTATACTGTTATTTATAATTTGATTTTTTATAGAAAAAATCATGTGACATACCGACCGGTTACACAAGTTCAAAGAAGGTTTATCAAATTCAATCTTGATTATCAACAACAGAATAACTCGAACTGTTACAAATAATCACACGAAGTGGAGATGTACTTGATCGATTAGAAATGGAGTTGTAAATATGACCAAAAGCAAACTGATAAACACATAAAATCCTAAACATGCTATTTTCTGCTTCATACTTAACATAAATATGCAAATGGATATTAATTTAGTAAATCATCTTTATTCACTGACAGCTAGATACAATGAACGTAAGCATATATTAGACGGTGTCTAGTGAAGGTTGGCTTAATCTTTAAGTTCTGTTTTCTTAAAGATTAACTTCAGTTGCGATTCAATTAAAAATCAGGATGCAGTGGATAAGTATGTCGTCCTAGATAAAGACTTTTCACAATCCTATTATAAATTGAACTGAGGACCTTCAGGTCCCTTCGAGAAAGATTAAACACTAGAACAACTGGATAAGTGTCTAATGGGACGATTTCAACTCCGGTTCACTTGTGATGTACCGTCACCATCATCCAATGCCATTTCTGAAATTTCTTTATTCCCGAGATGTCTGAATTATTCAAGGATTGCGCGGGAACATATAAATATTCAAAAAAACGTTAAGAATAAGAACTTCATGTAATAGGCACCAAGACTTTCACCTAAATAAAGTTGACATAAATGGAAGTATATTAAATACTGAGACCGAACAGATGGTTTGTAATGTGACAGGAACACAAATGCTATTCGTAATGCGATATTCATCTGCGCACACATAGTATTCATAACTGCGAAAAAGGGCGTTTGATAGAGAAGCAAATAGATTTGTCTAGTAAAACCACTCTGAGATTTCTGCTGAAAGCTTCGTCTATTTATGAAGCCTTAGCAACTGAGTTCAGGTTTCAAACAATAATAATGCGACGACCTACTAACTATTTGTAAGTAGGTAATTGAAAATATTATCAAAAAGGGGTTTTGTGGATATTATGGTAGTCCTCAGTGAGTTACTATCTCACAACAGACCTGGTTGAAATCCACTGGTCACTGCTACTCACTAGAACTTCAGGAAAAACCTCTTGAAGCCAGTCACTAGTGAGCGTATGATGATTATTATAAGAAAGGGACTTTGTTGATATTATAGTAATTTAATAGTTGAGTTCAAAAGTCAACCTGGTCGTTTCGTCCTAGTACGAGACTCCTCAGCAGTGCGTATCTAAAGATATCATAGCTTATTGATACAAGCCGTATTATTAGTAGTGTGTTAAGATTTTAGTGAACCCTGGTTAAAGTTTGTTATTACTGCATAAAAAACACACATGATCTTAGCTCAGAGAGCCACATATCTGATGAATATTCTTCACTGACATCCACTAAAAATTTTAAAACTCATTTCATATTATCTGGAAAACATGAAAGATATCGTGTTGGATTTTAAGGCCATTGCAACTAACCAACTGGAGAACTACATTTTTATACCTGATCTCGATTAGATATATAAATAGATGAGTAAGACGACCATAACGTACAAACAATTAGAGAAATACAATACAACCATGTACGCAAATCCTATTATTAGTCCTTGCTGCGCCCTTATGCGATTTGACTATAAATGTAATTGCCCACTTTTCGCATCTCCGCTACTAATTCGTTCGATGTGCTTATAGCTTTGTGATCTGCGCTATCCGCTAATAAATTGTAGTTGCCGCTCCTCATTACCTTCTGATTTTAAACACCATTGAAGATTTGTATTATAACGGTTATCAAGGTGATCGATTAACGAAGCACAGCCACCACAGTATGGGTTTTTTCAGTCGTGATCGGATCGAGTACAATAGAAAACTAATCTACTTCCAATCATCGCCTTCTAATTTGTTACTGGGTTAGAAAGGGCTCGAGTACCAATGTGTTAAGATATTAGATATTGTTCACAGGTCAGTTTGTTGATTCGCAAAATAGGTCGCCGATCCTACTGCGATATGGGTGAATCAAAATCCCAACTCTGCAATATTGTACGCAATATGTCTAGCCATAAAAATCAGCATTGCTAAAAATATGACACGGTTCATTTATTGCAGTAAGTTTTTCCCCATATTGATTGATTAGTTCTCTTTTTTAATAGCAATACTATCATACTTCAACTAAAACATCAAGAAATACAATTGAATCATCGGACTAGCTATCAGTACAAGTCATTATAACAACTAAATATGTATATACACAGCATAGATTTCTTATAGATAATCTACTTGGTACATAGAATGATGAAATGTTAGGCAGTTGACTAGAAAACCTGGAAATAATTTTCGCGGAAGTTAGCACTCAATACCGAGTCATACCTTATCTCTAGGGAACTAATGGTTTTCACTGTAACTCATAGATTAGTTACTCGGTTTCATTCTGAAACATTACTAGTAAGCTACTCAAGCTGTGGATGAGTCTTGTATGACTGAGGTAGTAGTCAATGTTAAACCTATCTACTTTTCTACTGCTGATTGAATTCAGTCAATCAAGTTGCAGTTTGACCAGTCATCGAAGCGACTTTATTTCACGTGTACTATAATGGATATAGTACGTGATCAAAGGTAGATTATATAATAGTCAACATTCATCACCAATAAAGAATGGTGAATAGTCATTTATTCAGTTAACAAAACTCATCAGACCGCAGGTGCATCCACTCTTTGTGTTCTCCCAAATTCTAATTTCCTGAATCTTTCTTGTCTCTTTCCAAACTTATTACACTGGATTATACTCTTTAAATAACATCTTCAAACCCTAATCTTTCCGATTACTGTTTATACTCTTACCGCCTCTACCACTACGTGATTTGTGTCGACAACTGCATCTCTGTGCAAATGTGGTATGGCAACTCGAAGTGATGTATGTACGTGCGAAGTTCTACGTTGTTACTGACTGACTGACTTTATTTTTTCACATGAATTCTTTCCATTCAATGGAAAAAGAACAAACATTTCTATTTAATAAATATGATTTACAGATATTTACAAAATAAAAAAAACACACACAAATACACCATTCTATTATGGATTTGTACAGAAATAATATTTGAATTAAACAATTGCTGATATTATTTCTTCTTTTTTCTAACAATGAGATTACCTAAAACACAAGGGAAAAACCGATAACCATGCACGAAAAGGAAATAAACTGAAGATATAGGGAAAATAAATAAACAGTAATGTATTATTATTATTATCCAATGGTGTTAATGCATAACTTCAATCGATCCATGATCTCTAGTAACCCTTCATCAATTGTTTGAGGTGGTGTCACACCCGACACGGACTGAACTCCATAGGTCATAGCTTCTCACTAGAACTTCAGGAACATGATTATTATCAGTATCGGGATTTCTGGAGGAGTCCCACTCTAGGACGAAACGGCTATACAGTGCTTCCAGGTTTTTAATGGTGGTCCAATTTAAATCGGCTCGTGAATTCAACTGTGAAAATACTACAATCTCCACAAATCCCCATATTGATAATCTTAACCCATTACTAGATACCTGGATTTGAGCAACGTTCTAAGTGTATGGGCTAAAGATGCTAAGCAGCTGTTCAAATAGAACTAACTGAAGTGGAATTCACAATTTTCACAAAGTGGAAAGCATCAATTCAAAGGGCCACTCATTCCAAAACAAATTGAAAAGTATCAGATGAAATTACTTTGCAAATGAGGCGAAATATACTTTTCAGTCAATAATTGACTTAAAATAAACATAAACTTTAAATGAGGCACAGAACACTAATAGTCTGACAATTAAAAGGTCAAACTAAACGAGTTAGTTTGGACATGCATGAAAAAAAAACAAATAACTGATGCATATTTTGGAACCAAAATTCGTAGAGGTTTTACATGACTAAAGTATGTTTTTTTCAGTTTTGCTAGTGGGATATCTGCAGTATGAGAAATCTTGACTAGATATATTTCAACAATTGGTTTGATGGATAACCATGAAGTATTCACTTTGTATAATATTTCAACCTGACTGTAGATAGCAATGTGCATCCACAACACTGTAACAGGGGATCAGACCCAGGTGCTACAGTCTAGCATGCCAACATCAAACCTTCAGACAGCTGAGCCAACGGTGTCGATGACTAACTGCAACTAATCAATGATATTGTGGAACCATTTTTCATAATTTTCGATGGGTATCTGCCTCACACACAGACGGTTTAGCTCCACTGACAAAGGATATCTGAAGTAGCTTCCACATACCCAGCTACAGTCCAGAGTAGGGAGAGTCCGCATTCCCACTCCGAATGCTTTCATATGGCCACTGTCAGGAACGTCCTACTCAATACGGAGGTGTTGATTACGAAACTGAGAGGAAGAAAAGAAAATGTCCGGCACTCTAAGCGGATTGATAGATATGGAGGATCCAAATAGGGAAGTCAGAAATCTCTGATTCCAAGCCAATGGTGCACATGGGCTCCAGAATCCTGAGGGAACAAGTGGTGTACGAAACTATTGTTGATCACCGACTAATATGGGACTGGATCTTCTAACATTGCTCTACTGCCTAGTGTAGTAAACCTCTAGGTCAAAGGCTCGTGGAGTGGCGTTCTAAGAAAACCATCTGTTTCGACTTGGGCACCTGGACAGTATTCTAGCCCTCACATAAGTCAGATGACAAAGTGTGGTACCTTTTTATACCGTGACTCCTACCGTTTGTGTATTGAAATAAGCATCAATTCATGAAAACATGTTACACTATGAACATCATGTTTGCCACTTGAAGTACTTACTTTTGAATGCTTTTTTGACAACTGATTTGCTAGATTTTTCATTGACTTCTAATTTCTTTTTACGTTTCTTTTCAGTTCTTTCATCTAATTGAAATTTAACCATTTTAGAATTTATTGGTTTTTCATCAGTATTAATTTCATCTTGTGTTGACAATTGACCAGCACGTTTCATACCTTCAAGACAAATAGCACGATGTGCTTCACGTTCAGCTTCATTCGCTAAACGTCGAGCTTCATGTTCAGCACGACGTTTTGCACGAATTAGTTCACGTTGTCTTAGACATTCTGATTGATGAGCTAATTCAGATAGTGTACGTGTTTGCCAACGATGATATAAAACTGTACCAGTGTTTACACCTTCTTCTATCTGGTTAAAATTTAAAGAAAAAATTATTAACAAACAATATGAATTACGGTTTAATTAACTCGAGCAAAATCAAAATGTCTGTTTAAACAAAAAGGATTTTAGAGACGTCATTGGATGTTTAAGAGAAAACATAATCATAATCGAAAAGTTAAATTATTGTGTGTATAGTGTAAGTGAAAATTAATTTTCACACCGCGAAAGTGGCTAATTTGAAAGAACTTACCATTCTCAACTGATTCCCAATCTGTTAGTTACAGTTTCCTATAATCACAACCACTTTTGACTTAATTTTCTAGAAATATTATTTTTGATTTTATGGTGTGATGATGTCTGGTTTGCTTGAATATAAAATACGTGCCCCCAAATTCCCTGGTACGGATGAGAGTGGGGAGAGTCCGCTCTCCCTCTAGAAATGCTCTCACATGGCCACGCGTATATAGCCTGCTAGGGAAGTTTTACTTACTGCGTTCTCACACCAGGAGTGTTGTTTACGAAATTGAGAGGACGAAAAGTGAATGTCCGGAGCATTAACCGGGCCGGTGAACACGGTGAGTCTACCTAGGAGAGTTGGGAAACCCTGATTCCAAACCAATGCTGCACATGGACTCCAGGATCCTGAGTAAACAAATGGCTTATGAACTAATCGTTGGTCACCGGCTTACACGGGAATGCATCTCCTTACGCTACTACACTGCACTGTGAATTAGACCTTTAGGTCGAAGGCTCCGGGTGTGGCCCCCAAGAAAACCACCTGTTTCGGTCTGGGCACCCGGATATCAAGTAATGGTGGTTTTAGGTTAATCTCGCTCTACTGGCTAACATTTCTTGACAATCCAAACAATAGTTAAGCACATATTACGAAATTTCAAACCATCTCAATATGGAATATTCCGACGACTGATACGATCAAAAAGCTAAAGCTTGGACATGTCTTCTAATTTCATATTTCAGAGCTACAGAGTAATATACATGTACTGCTCCACTACACAATCACATTTCGTTTAGCAAACAGACACTGATAAAACTACAATATCAAAGGAAAGTATGAGTAAATTAAAAGAAAAGAAAATTTTATATCAATTTACTTTAATTAGATTTAAAGTAATTCTTGGTCCAATTTCAGTAAGTCGAATTGTAGCTTTTTTAGCTGTGCCTAAATGTTTTAATCCATGTATTGAACTAGTGCCATGACCATGTTTACGTTTACGTGATTGTATAGCATCTGCGTTAGCGAATCCAGAACTTGACAAGTGAACATCTGAAACTAAATCAACTTCTTCCATATCTGATAAAATATCTGATAATGCTGAATCGGATAAAAGTCCTGTTCTGTAAATGAAAACAATAACAATAATGACCATGTTCGATTGAATTCAATTAAGAACGATGTGTGTGTACGTACATTATAACACAAAATATATATAAAATCAAAAATTTTCAACTAGCCACTTTTTATAATCAAAGACGGACGGTGGCCAGTGCAATCCAGGACGCGCGTTTCGTCCTGTTTGGGACTTGTCAGCTGGATGTATCTGCATCCCAGAGTAGATGTTCACTGCGGGACTCGAACCTAATAGTGCTTGTGATTTAAGGCAATATCGAGGCGATTTGCACAGGATGCACATATACCAATAAGAGATTGATCAATCGGAAGATACAAACAAACAACACAAAATAAATTTAGGCAGTTCCTAGTTATTAATATACAAATTTGTCTTTAGCGAAAATAGATGAATCCATCTTGTCAAATAATTAGAAGGATAAGAAAGAGAATTTCCAAGAGTTCCTACGCAGTAGTTGGGAATATGTAGTTCGAGTGAAAGATTAGTGTTTTCTTCCAGTTCGAACTGTTTCTTATAATGGCCAATAAAAATGACTGAATTTCATGTAAAAACAAAAAACAAGAACTAATGGTTGATTAGTCCCTACAATAGAAACGGAATACTACTATGTTAGAGATCGTTTCAGGATCCAATGTTATATACAGTTAAGATTTACTTCTTACATACAATTAATTATTTTTTTATCGTAATCTTTCAATTAATCCAACTAACTATTGTCATGCGAATTATTACTCTGAATCTATTACCGGTTTTACTATTCACAGTCAAATTTTGGTTTGACCATGAATAATTGTTATTTTTCATTTTGTAGAGAATATTTAGAATGGGAAGATTGCATATAATCTAGGTCATAAATTCTATTATGAAAATACTACAATCTTTACAAATCCCCATACTAATAAGCCGTGACCAGTGTCATCCAATACCCGTCGGGTGTGAGACAGTTATCCACCTCAAGCTTACTCAAGATCATGGATCACGACAATCACGCGCGAGACAGAAGGTCCTGAGTTCGACTACCGCGCGTGATCATGGATGAGCACTGCTGTGTCCAATACTAGAACAAACGGCCGTCCAGTGCTTCTAGGTTTTCATTGGAGGTTCAGCTTATAATTAAACTTTGAAGATACTACAACCTTCACATATCCCCATGCTGACGAAATATAATATAACATAGTGGAGGCCGATTACTGAATTCTGGACTCAAGTGATAGAGCAGAAAGAATAATTAAAGAATTGAAGACCAATAAGGACTAGTGCTGGTTGGACGTATAACCAGTCAACGCAAAGAGAAAGAAAGAGACTAAGTCATGGAAATCAGAATCCTAGTTAGTGTTTTCGTCAAGTGATATTAGAAAATGGCCACAAGACAGAACAACAATTATCGTACTGTTGTTAGTATATAATTTACAAGCAATATTATTAAAAGATTCTTTGTTTTGGAACGCCTTTCATCACACAGAGTTAACATTAACTGTAATTAATTGATATTAAAAATGATTTAGGGGGAATAGGTACAAAAGTTCCACAAGCTATTTGACACTTTTGCAACTGATTGATTATTGGGTAGTGACTAATGTACTGTACGCCAAATCAGTCTTATTGCTTGTAATGTTAGGGGAAGTGGTCATCCTAGACGGGTTCGATTTGATGTCAATACTGGAATGAACCAGTCTTACAGGTGGTCGATTGCGCCGAGGATAGAACAGCGGTAACGTCTTTGAATGTGGAGATGGGTGACACGAAAGCGAATCCACCAGGCAGCATCTATCCCTTCAAGAGTACACTTTACTGATGAGTGACAAATAGCACGAAACCTAGAGCAATAGTTTCTTGTCGATTACCCTCACCAACACATTACATAGTTGACACTCCTTAACAAGTATTTCTAGAATGTTGATAAACATCAACACAAATGTTAAGCAGTTTCATAGTTAGAGATATAACTTGTGAATTACTCAAACCTTAACTTAAATGTTTTAGGATTGAGATTGTCGCTAACCAATAAAACCCAACTCTCACAAAGAAGACAAGGTGAGGAAATAGTAGTTAATACTACGTAAAGCAGCTAATACTGATTTAATTGGTGAACAGATATATCACTTAACATTGTGATTAATACATATTATCCAACCATAAATATTTTCAACCAGTCATAAGCAATACGGAATCTTGAACACATGTATGTCGGTTAAACTTGACATATCATATCAGTAAAGAGAGACGAGATTATCAGTAGTAATAGAAAAATTTAGGTTGTAAGACAAAAAATCATAAGATTCAAGATTTGAGGAGAGACGAGTGAATGCATCGATTTTCAGCCTTGTCACCCAATATCACTAACCAGCAGTCTTTACCTAACTATACGGATTAGTTCAACAATCAATGTCTCTATTTACTGATCCGACGTTTTCGAATAACTGATCCTAGATTTCTTCCAACCTCCTGCACCGACAAATATTTCAAGTTACTTCAGTATATTAAACATTACAAAAATTATTGTTCTTAGTAGCAAAGATTACTTCCTTACTTAGTTAAAAAATCGTCCATAGATGAATATTTCGCTAAATTCGGTACACCTGTTGTTTTTCCTGAACCACTTGGACCAATTCCACATTTCAACTCAGAGTTATCAACACATCGACGTTTCATTTTTGCACCGCCAACACCAAGACGTCGTAGTGCACGGCTTATACAACGATTTTCAGTACGAATATGAAAGTGTCGAATGTAAATTACATCATTCACTTGCTGTGGTTGGTGCTGTTTTGTGTCGTCACCAGTACAACCACTACTACTATTGTCATTAGTAGTAGTATTAATGTATGCAGTGTCGACTTCTCGACTAACAAGTAAAACTCGTTTTACTGTACTAAGTTTAAGCTAAATAAAACAAATATAGTAAGAAAAACTATCAAATAGTAACAAAATAACAGAAGCGTCAAGGCAGGAATGACATCTGAACATCAAATACTTTGACTTTGACAAATGATTAAAGTGACGTAACAGGTTAAAAAACACTTCCTTTTCATTTTCTTTCCCTTTATTGCTACTGGATGGTGATATCTCTGGGATATACGTGATTCTAGTTTATATTAATGTTTAGTTGCTATGCGAAACATGACAGGTCACAAGTTTATGCGCATATTTAGTACAGAGGAAAAAATTAAATGGTCGATTGGATGCTTTAAGTTCGCTAAATGATTGTTTACATGGAAAACTTCAGCGTTCAGATGATGATGTTAATTGTGTTTTGTTTCCAGATAGTAATTTAATTACTAAACAATATATTTCTCTTTAGTTTAACGGAATTGTAAATGATAGTGAATTTTTATTAATCTTTCATGAAACTGACTAGTTCTTTGATTAGCATATGTCCGGCGCTTTAACCGGATTCCAAACCAATGGTACACATGGGCTCCAGTATCCTGCAGGAACAAATGGCGTATGAACCAATCGTTGGTCACCGGCTACCATGGGAATGCATCTCCTCATGATGCTCCACTGCCTTGTGGGTCAGACCTTTAGGTCAAAGGCTTGGGGTGTGGCCCCTAAGAAAACCACCTGCTTCGGTCTGGGCACCCGAGCAGTATCACAGCCCACACACACACAAATATGGTGTGGCGCATATATATTTGGTGCCCTCTTCTACCAATATTTATGTGTTGAAATAAAATAAAATAATAAAAATTGATTAGCAACTTCTTTAACCATGCTGTTATCAATCTACTACTATGTTTATTGATATATATCAGAGTAATGAATACATAATATTGATACTACAATCAACATGAAAACTATGGATGAATTACTAAGTAGTATAAGTAGATAATATGACGGTAAAAACGTATACTGATGGTCGACTTCGCTTGAAGCCAATACGATCTGGACATAATTATAGTAGAGAAGTTTTATGATTGCTGTCAAGTTCGATCATCAACTGGTTTACCTATATTCCCAGTAGTACTGGCGAGTGACCTTCCAAATACTCATTGATACAGCAATTACTGAACAACGCTCAAGACCTTAATGTATACTGGTCCTCGAGCTCCTCTTCTGACCCAGTAGCCAATCAGAAGACAATAATAAGAAGCAGGTCAGTTCTAAATTGTACTCAATTCAATCATTTATCAAAAATCACACAATAATATACTTGGAATGTATGACGGCACAACGATACAATCATGAAATCTCAATGTGTACAACCTTAGTGATACAAAACTAGAGTATTGCGAAAAATCATTAATTATTGACAAATTTGGAACGATTAAGCATATAACGAATAACAAGTCAAATAAAAGCTTAGAAGTAGATAAGTATCAAAACACAATAATACAAGTAACAAATTACTACAAAATCTCCATTAAATCAAACGCTTTACAGATGAGGAGGACCTTGATGACCAATATACATTAAAGTTTTCAGTGTTATATATATATATATACATATATATTGCAAAAAGTTATTGATGAATACAATACAAAACAGACCTTCGGAACATTTAATGGAGGCAGTAAATTTTGAAACATATCTACGACTAAACGTAGATGTGGCAATGGAGCGGATGTATTCGCGTTCGTGCCGCCCATACCAAATCCAGTCATTACTAACAAAGGCGGTGAACTATACTGACGACTATCGAAAACTCGACGAACCAAAGTTTGTATATCACGTTTCAAGCTATATTCAGCAACACGGAAAGTAAGACTAGGTCCATGCGGAACACGAATCATGTGTAGATAAACACCACCGTGGTTACTACAACTTTTACTGGTTACTGCTTGAATTTCAGTAGTATCTGATTGAGAGAAAAAAGTGGCAGTATAATATATTTAAGTCACAGAAAGAGGTCATAACGATAAATCAACTGAATAAGAAGCGAAATTAAACTTATGGTTAATCACTTCAATTGCTCTGGAAACTGTAATGTTTGAAGAAATCCAGTGTAAATACCACTTTTGCATTAGTACACAGTCTACAACACACTGGGCAATAAAATAAAAATCTGAGGAGTGCATAACCTCTGATGAACACGAACCTATTTACTGGTATTCATATTTCGTGCTAATTCGCGAAAATAGCCCAGATCGATACGTGTATAAATAAAGCGAATTATCTGCATTATATAAGTTACTATCGGAACTGCCAGTTTTATCATAACAAGTTAAGTGCATAAAGCTGATGTTTAAAGAGTTCCTAAGTTAGACATGTGAAACCTAATTACTTTACGTTTTCTGTTATGCAACTCGTTTGATTCAACTCATTTTTTGTGTATTACTTTATACTACTTGTTGATGTTCAGTAACCAGTTTCACAGGGTAATATACTACAGTATTTACATAAACTACAAACATTCAATATATCGTTTTGTGTAATTACATTCTCTCAACTTTTGTAACAGTTAATTCCAGTTCTGTACATTTGCTGAATATTCGCTTAAATGAAACAGCTCTCATATTTGTGTACTTTTAGTCCCCATTTTGATTGTTGATAAATAGTTGTTAATATTAGAAGAAGCCGTCAACAATTATTTCCGCTATCATGTGTTGTACCTACTTATGTGTTATCATTACAGGAAACCTTTCTCTTACCAGATATACACATGCGGTATTCGCTAAAGGCTGAGATTTGAAACCAATTTCTAAATATATTCCTAAATAACAAAACCGTTCTTTATAAAAATCGGTGTTTGTAAATCTCAGTTACGCATGTATCTCGATTGTGTAGTTAAGCGCTGCGATAGATTTAGCACTTGGATTCTTATTAGAAATGAGGAGATACATTATAGTGTCTGTGAAAACGGTCTGTCTCTTTGAAATCATGACTTCGAAAATTTAATCATTGGCTGATAGTAGAATAACGGAACTTATATACCTCACAGAAATCAACCATGGAGTCTACACGGATAGATAAGCTTTGAAATGTAAATCAATTAACCCAGCAAGCTAGAATAAAATAACATACATCAACACTAACGTAGCATGAACATTCGATAAACGAAAAAGCAATTTCAATGAAATAAATTATCAAACAAAATGGGAAACTACAAACTTTGTTCAACTGAAGAATTTTCATTTTTTAACTGTTTTGCAGAAGCTTTAGCTAAACGACGGGCACGTTTCTGTTCACGTTTCTCATCATTAGGGTGTGTGAAATATAACAAATGTGTTACGTTCAATGGACCAGCGATAGTAATAAAATCTTTCAGTACATTCTGACGGGTTACACGTAAACGGCTAGCTGTAAAGGGTTCAAAAATCTCTCTAACATCGAGAGATAATTGTTTCACTAAACTTCCAACACCAGGACGTGAGAAAACCATTGTATGTGGGGTTTTGGTGTAACGTTTTTCCTCCAATGCAAGCGCTGCATTTCGTGCATTCCGTACCGACTTTGGACGTTTCTTATGTACCATTATACACAAGAATATACTGAAATAAACAATAAAATACTTCATAAAACATACTGAACTGTCATATATATATATATATATATATATATATATATATATATATAACGATCATTTACAAATGACAAGAATAACCAGTTATATATAAAACACACCAAAGTAGATTGTCGTGAGTGTGAAAACGATTTTACATTAGAAACTAACATCTTTAACATGTGTAGTCATACGGATTATCTACTTCAGAAATGACATAAACAGAAGATTAAGATTCCATTTTTATGATTTTTGTATAAAAATACTGGGCACCAATTTTCTTAGTTTTCCATAAAAAGTGATGACTAATATATATTACAACTCATATTACGATATACAAACTCATGTATTAGATTTTCAATCATATCGATTATTTGAGACGTTAGTTAGACGATCCCGCTGTCTACATCGAAGTAAATATGCTTGAGATGGAAACTATACCCTGCCAGTTACATACCAGATGGTTTAATCATTTTAGGTAAGCTACTGTTTTATACACAGGAGAAAGTTACTTTAGAAGATAGCCAAGCCCCTGAGTAATGGTAAGCTTAATGTCATGCTGTTCGACACGGAGATGCAGATCAAATATCACCAATATATTTAACAAAGAGATGACCTAGCTACATGATTGATTTGACAAAGTAATGTACGATTGTGTTTTAATGATGTAGAGATATGAAGTCAGTAATATATCCAGTTCCTTTACCCCAATATAGATTTGTGTTTGACGTGATCTCAAGTGTTATTAAAGGAATGAGGATGATTTTTAATTCGCAAAGGTTCACACTGTCAGAAAAAACCTTTAGAGCAATTTGGAAATCGGATTACAGATGAGTTTGACGGTCTGATGAAGTGCTCAAAGGACAACCATTTTAGAATGATCACACAGCATTTCTATGAACAGTTCTAGATGAGTTAGCTCTGTATTTCAAGGCTTTAACGTCCGATGCGGGAACCCATGAGGCAGAGTGAAGTATGCAATATTTAGGATGGACTTCTTATACATGGAGAAGATCCTTGCTGTCCATTGACCCGTATGCAGCCTAATTAAACGTATGAAATATGTGCATATTCTCAGGCATAAACTACGCCTAGATACTTTTTGATATTACTGAAGCATAGATTACAAAACAGGTTCAATCAAGCATTGTACAAAACAAACAAACAAACAAAAAATGATGAAATAAAAAACAACATGTATATATTTATATCGTATATGATGATCAGCTTTTTACCCGGTTATTTTAACAATATAAACAGTACTAAAATACTAAAGAATAATTTGAATAGTCAAAGGAACAAGAAGAAATAGATTTGTTCAAAAATTAAACAAAAGAGTGTTTTAATATAAAAAAGAATTTTTGCAAATCAATTTAAAGCTAAGTAACTCAAACATACTAACTCACTTTTCAAACTCCCAAATCTACTAATCACCGTACTTATTATACACAGTAAAACAATTGGATGAACATAAAAGCATGAACTCATATAAATACACATACAAACAAACATACAGACATATCTAAGACTAATCAAAGATTGTTACCAACACCATTCAGATGACTGTGAACATACGAGGGGTAATGACTCACATATGAGAGTGGACAAATAGGTGTAAAAATAAACCATGAAACAAACAAAATAATTTATGAAAATAATTCATATTAGATATGATCCGAAAAACGAAAGACTGTATTGTTGATGTGTATTTGTTTGTGAAAAGAATACTAAACGAGTGATCGGTAAGTTTATGACAAGTTTTTTTTCCTCCTTGGATTATCTTTTTTTCATACTACACAGAATGAGCCAATTCCATATGAATCGATAGATCACTTCGTAGACAAACCTGTTGACAAAGAAACAATAGCAAATTGGAAAATACTACGATTAATACAATGTTTTAGAAGATTATTGAATGGTATAGTTAACATCTGGGGCAGTATTTAGTTAGATAACTGTTTTGTAACCCAGGGACTACTGGATAATCAAAACATTGATCACAAGATCCTAGTGAAAAGAAGAAAACTTAGCAATAAAATAGAAGATTGATCGATTCTCCATCAAATGGTACATTTATAACACAGTTTTAATTAATAAACATTAGTCATCTGAATCGACATTATTCTAGACCTCAATCAAATATCTAGTAACTTAATCAAGATGAAACTCTGTTAGTTGGATAATTAAAAAACATTATCATTAGATCGCCTCCGGTGTAGGAGATTAGAAAGACCTAGAAGGTTGCTAAACCAGGACGTGATAGCAATTCATGAAATTAATGACGGTTGGACTAAACTGCATAGTTCGCGTTTATACATTATTGTAACCGACAGTTGGAGACACTGGGTGACATGGCTCAGAATCGGTCAAAATAATGAAGATACATTCACTATTTTAAAACTTATAGATTCTGGTCCACAACCTAGCATTTCATTCTCGAATCACATTATCTTCTGTCGATCTGTTCTAATACTAATGACATCAATATTATTGGCATTATTACATCTCAGTGGTCCAGGACTCGTAGCGACACCTGAAGGTCATGAGTTCAATGACTTGCGAATTCTTAAGTTCAAAGTACTGAGTTCTCTACCAAGGTGTAAAAGTTGTATAATGTTCCTTGGTTTACAATAGTACCCCAGGTGAGGTCAGTTTGTGATGAATACAAACCACAAAATTATCCTGTTGATATTTTAAACTATTAGATTAAATAAATATCATCAATTAAGATTTTCCATAAGGCAGCAAATGTTAAACATTAACTGTTTAAAAAAGAATCATGAAATCCAACTTACTTGACCACATTCCTGGCATGTTTGCATTGTTTTTAGGACTTTCTTTGACCATGGAGGAAGAGCTAATATAGGGATTTTGTTGCGCTTAAATTGATGACCACTTTTTAACAAAGCTTCTTGCATATCAACTGGAATACGTGGAGATCCTTGTGCTTGCAGAGCACGAAGTAAGGCACGTTGAAGCCCTATATCAGGCAATAAGGAAATCATCGGACCTATCCAGTATGGAATATCTAAAAAAAGAGTAATACTCTAGGATTATATAATAAAACACAGTGATATAGAGCACATGGAAATATAAGTGATGAAGAGGAGTCAGCTATGATAGTAATTGTTTGTAGTCGATAGCAGCAGCTACTGCTGTTGACTGACGGAAGCTCGTCCAACTCATCCGCATCACTGGTAGCCACAAGTCTGGTATGAGTGAAACAATATGTGAAGTTAATCGGATGCCAATGAACAACATCCACTAACGTCTTGGACAATAGGCAGTTTGTCGAGGAACAGTTCAAATGGTCTGCTGCCTTGGAGATGGCGAACTGACTGTCCTGCCGTCCATGGCCGGTGACAACTGATCCACCTAACGAGGTGGAAGTCCGCAAGGAACTCCAACTCATTAGCACGCTCCGACTACAAGGTTTCTCGGTCTTTAGCAAGCTTTTCACAATTTCATTACGTAAAAATCTTCGTTTACGGTCATACTTACACATCGACGTTACTGAACGAGTTGGAGCCTATAGAAACTCAGTGCTTATCTTATGCATCAGTGTCACTATCTTGAAACACCGATTTCGTTCGCTTGTACATAGCCTATGTCGTTCCAGCGAATTCTATATCGTCCATCATTTGCCGACGCTGAAACCGGTAGGAAAGGGCGGAGAGGTAGTCAGTGCACAACATGGTATAAGAGAAAGCTGTACAGGACTGGCGTCCGTTGGACATTCACGACTCCCTGGTTGGGGCCCTAGAGGTGATGCAACACAGTGGCTTGAAATGTTATCAGAAATGGCTTGAAAGAAAAGCCAGTGACGATAATGAAGCGAATTCTTTCTAGTTGTATCTTTCCTACCCAAACTGCTTCTTCCATTATTATTATTATTATTATTATTATTATTATTATTATTATTATTATTAGTAGTAGTAGTAGTAGTAGTAGTAGTAGTAGTAGTAGTAGTAGTAGTAGTATCACCCTCGTACACTAATTTCTGTTCATTGTTCTTTGTTGTTACACTCACCTTCCATACTCTATCCTTTCACAACAACATTTTTGTTGTATGGCACATGTATATTTGGTGTTTTTTTGTACTAATATTTATGTTTTTAAATAAGTAATCAATAAATAAGTTCAAAAAATACGTCATCAAAATTTCTACAAATTTTTCAGAGGGAACAAAAAACCATTATACAACAACTTACTGTCATCATCATTCTGATTCACAGTATTGACATTTAGAAGACCAATTAAGCCTTCCAAGTAAGCTGTAGCATTGATTTGTTTATAACGATAACGACGTGATAAATCAGCAAACCGAATAAAAGCTGTCTTGCCACTTTTATCAAATAAATCATTTTCCACTGTTTGAATTAATTCACGATTACGTATTTCCATATCCGGTGGAGCTACATATTGAGACTTGAAAGAAAATAACAATTATATAAATAAATAAAGAATGATAGTGACAAATATATAATACAATGAGTAAATGAATTATGGGAAGACAGTTGATGATGATACTATCATAATGAAGTGGTGGCTCGGTTGTTAAGAAGTGATGTTATCAGTCATTAGGTAACGAATTCGAGTTACACATCCAACCTATTTCATCGTTGGAAACCAAATCGTATATTACTAGCTCATACATACAAAATGTAACACAAAGCCGATTGTGTTAATCTGTACCTGGTAAATGAGTTGCATTAATAAACACTATAACAGTAAAGTTTGTTGTGTCCGATAGGACAATAAAAATGAAAAACTAGTTGTTTAATCATACATGGATGTGAAAAAAAAAATTCAATTTGATAAGATATGAGGACAAAAAACCAGTACTGATTTCGTTTAAACTCGAATTCGTAAGATACTTCAATGAATAAGGCAGTATATAACGGTACGATAAGTTGTGAATAAAAGATTCGATTATCGTGGGAGCCGTTTTCGCTTGAACGTTCTAAGAATAGGATAGCAGCGTCGCTGAAGATTTTGGTTGCTTGAAAGCAACAGTGATTCTTGGAGCATTCCCATTTCACTAACATCAAGACCACACTTCCATAAAGCTATTATTGTACCAACATTTCTAAAAGGATAATACATAACATTTGCGTTATTAGCATATAACTCAAAATGAAACGTGACTACTTTATTTCCCTAACCAAGGGGAACCTTATTTAACAACCCAGCATTTGAGAACACAGCGGTAGTAATCGAGTCCTTTCCTTATGATGAAAGATCAAACAATGCATCGAACTATAGATGATTGATCACAAAGTAATGACCAATCTCACGTTGGTTCGGTAATTCAGTGTTATCCGAGTTCAAAGGATCAAGCTGTAATATGATCGCTAGGCTGTGACTCTATACTGAGCAACCTACATTTAAATGTTAGGCAGTGTAGTGGTAGCATCCCAGACTATGCAGCTGATTCAAGCAAGTTCGAGTCCGAAAGAGACCGTCAGTTTCCAGAAGACTGTAGGTACCTCTTGCTGATGAGTGTCAACTAGCGTGAAACCTAAGCTTAGGGTTTTATGACGACTACCTTTCAGTATACGGAAAAGAAAGTAGTTATACAGTTCTACTAAATAACGACTTTTCAGAAGACCATATTGGTATGGCTTAGCATCTGGCAAATACGGAATATCGATTTCGTTGCCAATGTAGTGACAAAAATTACTGAGTCAAGTGAAATGGGACTTATACCTGTGAGTTGTCATTTAATAGGTTCATGATAAAGTTTAATGACTTATTTACTCGTTTATTGGTTATAAACTTGTAAACAATACAACTCAGCTACCCAAACTGAAGTAGATAGAGGGAGTGGAGCTCGAAACTGAAACCTAGTGACTGAAACTCGAACGCATTAAACCTGCTAAAATTAAGCGTGCTTCATATATCACTGGTACTCCTCAACCGTGGCTTTCAACTTGACGTAATGGTTGAGCTTACCCATAGTGACCGCCGGGCAGGACTGTTGGAGAACGGTGAGATCAAACGTAGCGACTTAATCCCTGAGAGAAAAGTTGTATCACTGATTTAATAGGGAAATGACAACAGTAAGGTGTTTAGCTCAGACAACATTTGCAGAGATGCTGCCTTATCATAAAAGGAGTTAGAAAAAGTCGATTCTAAAAATGTCACTTTACCTCATCCATTTCGGTCTCCGGTAGGAAGTTATTTTAACGTAAAAAGCTAACACATCAAAAGATTGTCACAAAACGGCCATGTTTGACAGGGCTCCAACAACAGTTTCTGGTACTCTAAGGTCATCGCCTCCCCTGGGTCAGTAAAGTCACCACTAACCCAGTTTTCCTTATAAAGACCTCTCAAAAGAAATATTCATCAGAGATGTGAGCAACCTAGAAGCGACCTCATACAGTTAACAACATGGGAGATCAAGCTATTTCTACTATTCCATGAAAAAGCCATTTTCAGAGATACTCGTAAAACTACATCCAATAAAAAAAGATGTGGTAACATTTATGTCTATTCAGTACACATACATAACAATAGTTAACAGTACACTTAATAAATAAATTTTAGCATACTTTAGCATATAATAAGCATTCAATATCCATGTTATCATTAAAATGAATAGATTTTATAAGTTTGATTAATGAATTAATTTCAGGTTTTAAAGTGTTATTCACAACACTACTGGTTGTATGAGAAGAGTGTTGTTGTTCAGATTGATGAACAGTAGTATCAATGATTTTCTTTTTTGTTTGTCGATTTTGTGATTTTTTCTGTATTGTATCATTGGAATTAGTTTTATTTTCAGATAGACATGGAAAATCATTTGTAAGTGATAATGGTTCATGATTAATTAGATTTATTTGACTAGATGATTGTTGATTAATATTAAGAACATCTACTGTTCGGATATGACTGAACTGAGGTTTTTCCAATGGTGACTGATCATCAGCATACTGAAATGAGGGAGAGAAATGAGGGGAAACGATATCTTGACATGAAATAACTTTAGTTAATCCATGAGAATGTTTGGTAAACATGAGGAATAAGCGGGAATCTTACAAATTTTTAATATGATCTTGACTAATACTAGGACTAAAATTCAGAGTTTCCAAGGTCCTAATCTGAAATCTTGATCACAACTCTAACTCTGAATAATTTAATGATGCCTTCGGCATTAAAATTATTCATTTACATTCGATAGACAACAATCTGTTTAATCTGCATCATGACTCTGAAAAGTCTTAATTATTTCTGTCCTGTTAAATATGGTTAAAATTTTTATTCCTTGAATATATCGTAAATAATAAAGACAAATTTCAGCAACATCTGACACAATTTACAGTATTAAGAACACAATAATGATTTGATGTTCTACAAATTGTGTATACAAATAAGTATTATTATGTGCATACTTTTCCGTGAAAAGAATGAAAATGATCGATAGTGGTACCGTTTAAGATGACCGTTACTACTTCAAAATCACGGTAATTCATTACTATTTTTTTCTTAATGAATATATTAACTTCTGTTAGAAATTACTCATCATGTCAACTTGGTAATTAGGACTATAATAAGGCTAACATAAGAGCTTTGATCCTCTCTTCCACGAGGACAAACAATAACCATAATAAATGAAATATAACGTTATATTTAGATATGATATGATATATGTGATATTGAGTAATTGTCTACAGTAATGGTCAAACTAAAATAAACACTTAGAAAGGGTTCGAATTATCCCATTTTCGGTTTTTTTCGATCAGTTTTAGTTGACGTACATGCATCCTGATTAGACGACCTTGGTTGTGGCTGTTTTGTAACAGATATTTAGAATACATAACTTGTGGCTAACAGTGGAATCTGAAATGAGACTTCGTCTTACTTGAGACTCATAAACTGCAAGCATCTGTGTTGTAGTATTGATATTCACAAATTTAAGTGAAAAGTACTGAGTATGAATGTTGATGTAGACATCAATACTACGTTGTGGGAACATTCAGTCGACAAGCCCCAAATAGGACAAAATGAGCCAGCTCAGACCAAACGCTTCTTTACACATCGATAGCTTTTCAAATATACTTTTGAATCCTTTCATTTGACTGAGTTCGTATCCTTCGATTATAAAGGTGCTACGTCTAAAAGTGTTGTCAAACTCCGGATACATATGAAATCTTTACATACAACACCTAGACCTCACTGACAGCCATAAACCCAACAATTCTGGAATACATACTTGTTTATTAACTAACCTTCTCGCTATCATCCCTTAAAGTCATACCACCATGCTCATCCATATTATTGTTTATTGTTCTTGAGTTGTTTCTAGGTTTTGGTTTCTTCGTAATTTTTAATGCGGTTGTGACTGTTAAAGGTTCAGTTTTCTTTTTCATTGCATCAGCCGCTGGTGTTTTAAACACCTTGGATTTATTTTCTAAAACTGACTTTGAAGTTAAATTGATAGTGCGATTTGAATGACTAGGATTGGAATTTGTTGGAAGTGACGGAAAATCGGAAGATGTAGGCGTCTGCAGAGAAACTGACTGAGGAAATGTGGACTTAAGTTGTTCTTCCGAAGATGTATTACGGCTTGTTTTCGACCATCCTGACGAAGGACTACTACTACTAGCTATCACAGAAGAAATGTTACCAAGGAAATTAAATTTGGTCGACTGTATACAGAAGAGAATTTCTAGAATTTATACTTTAGCAGTAACAGACAAACGAATTTTAGGAAAAACCCAAACGATTTGACCCATTTCTCTAATAAAAATAACACAAACTATGTAAATTAAAAAACATTTATTGTTAAAGAATGTTATGCAAATTGGTGGATTCAACGTTCTACATCACGAAATAACCAGTTACACATGTGTTTGGTCCCAGTACAAAACTCAGCAGTGAGCACCCAAACATTATGGGGATTGAACCCAGGATACTGACGGTTCGTGAACTACTGAGTTGCCATCCGAATGTTGTGTGATACAAATAAAGAGGATGTCAACAGATCGTGGTTACTCAGTAACTCGGAGGTCCTGAGGTACGATTCCTCGTAAGGACGTAAGTGCGCACTGCTGAGTCCTAGTGTTTTATGGTTTTCAATAAGTAATTGCGTTCTGAATTCTAACAACAATAATGGATATATCTGAATATTATGGATGATTGCGAGTTATTTAATCTTCTGTTACTTATTTATTATGAAACCTTATAAGGAAGTGTACGACTGCCCAAAATGGTTCGAAGTCACTATCAGTAAACTTATTAATCGGGGCTAAGTTTACTAATAAAACCTTTTAAAACCCATGGTAACTACATAACTATAAAGATTTTCATCTCATCAGTTCTTATACATTACAACTGAAACTGAATAACCGATTATCTAACTGTTTCCGTTATCAAACACGGTTAGCCATATTGTCTTGTTAAGCCTCAACGACGATTTCACACAGATGCAAATAAGAAGACAATCCAATCACATGTTGTACTCTTCATCTTCAATATACAACAGGAATACGCTATTTACGAGTAAAGATAGGAAGATTAGCTGTTTTCATTATCTATTATTAACTATTAACTATTATTAGCTACAAATTCTTATACTTGACTTTGAGTCACATTCTAAATGTGAGGGCTAGTGATAATATCAAGTTGTTTAAACCAAATTCGATGAAGTGAGATTCAAACGTGTGACTTAGTGACTGAAAGTTGAACGCTGAAACCACTGGATTTTTTAACAGATAACACAACGTTAGGTTGACAGCTTCTCCACCATTATGAGTAAATACAGAAGTTGACTTCAAGGAATCCAACACTATCACAAAACAGGGGTAAAGCGGTGCTCTAGTGTTTAGGATGTTTCGGTTTCAACCACTAAGCTGCAAGTTCGAATTGCGCACCACCTATTTTGGTTTGGGCAACCAGGTAGTATATCATTAGCCCTCACACTTAAAGTGTGATTTCTACTCAGGTACCTGATTAGTGAGTTAACTTAATACCACATCATAAATCTAAACACGTTTCAGTCTAATGATTTATTAATCAATGCAAGCAATGTGTACATGAAACATACCAGAAGCATGATTGTTTGATCCAAGAGTTGGAAAGCTAAAATGATTGGATGTATCGGTCTGAGGATTTTGTATGAGTTGAGAAGCATTACTTCTAACCCACGTGGGAGGTTTGCCTAATAATTGAAAAAAAATGAAAGAAAAGGATGAAAATAACTACGAAAATAACTCGCTATATATATAAGGAACACTGAAAAAAATTTAAGCACATTCGGAAGACTCACACAACTGATTGAAAAGAATAGTACTTATTCAAGAATTATAAGTCAGTCAGCTACAACGTAGAACCAGTCACATATATGCATCGGTCCAGGTTGCCACACTTCATTAACACGATAAGATGAACACCAAATTCATAGAAGTAGTTAATTTAATGGTGGTAGTATATAAAAGAAAGATTGCATATAAGGATATAATACAGGAAGAAAGGATTAGTTTGTAAAAAGAAATATATAAAGCAATTTTAATCTCACAGTTTAAAGGAAGACAGTGTGTAAACACATACGCCATTGTGATCGATTCTGAGCCATATCACCCAGAGTCTTCAACCATTGGTTATAAGTTTATCCACCTTGCTTCTAGTCGGACGTTTTTAATATATAATGTTTAATAAAATTACTTGATAGTTAAATTGAAGTATATAGTGAGTTCGAATGCATAACTCATTGTTTGGAACCCAAAATGATCATTTAATATACATGTATCAACTAGATAAGAAGGTTGATAAATTATTCGATTGTTTTCGGAAATGTCTGTCTTACTTATGTATGAAGAAGGTGAACATAAAAAATAATTAAGTTGTCTAGTCAATCCAACAACTCAATATACGAAAATGATTTCGTAAAATGAGTAAATAAAACAACTTCTTTAAATAAGATTTACAAAAAAAATTAATTAACAAACATCTTACCAGTGGAAGGATTTGTTGATTGTGTTAAACTAGGAAAATCTTCAGATGTAAGACGATCTTTATTAGTAAAATTGACATTAGCAACACGAGAAACCCAACTTCCACCAGTTATTGGTCGTTTATTTTGTACGGAATTATTTGTGTCGTTTATCTCGCGTTCTGTCAAAGTAGTGGTTGACTCCCTAAGTCTTTGTACGGGTGTTTGAGGACTCCTAGACTCATTTGTTGTTAAGTGAGAACTTGTGGTCATTGGTCTGGTCGACTGAAGTGAAGGAAAATCTTCACCGGTCCATTCAGAAGGATTAGGTCGTCGGTATGTTACACTAGGATTGTCTTGTGAAGTAAGTCTACCATCAGATGCATCTACAATTACAAACACAAAGCCGAAATAATTGATTTTAAACGACCGTAGAGCAAGCAAGTGAACTAGCAGTTCACGTATTATAGTAAAAGCCTGAAGCTCTTCTAGGATTACTGCCGGTCCCAAGCCCGGGTAAAGGTGGAGGGTTGGGCACGGGGTCAGCAACTCCATCCCGTAGAACAAAGCTTGTTAAAAAGCGCTAACGACAAAAAAACTATTTAAACTCTATCCGGAGAGTCGAAAGTTCTTCATTCAGAAGAATTATGACGCCTCATGGTGAAAGCCGAGGTCCTCCGGGAATCACGAGGTCGACGCCTCTTCTAATAACCAAAGCAATAATTAATATAGGTACATGGAGTGTTCGGACAGTGTGGGAGACCGTGAAAACCAATCAAATAGCTAAGGAAATGAGGAGATACAAATTGGCAGTACTCGGAATCAGTAAAACTCACTGGACCTAGGCCGGACAGAAAAGGAGAGATTCAGGATAGATGTTGCTGTACTCCGGTCACGAAGAGAGAAATTCTCCATACACTCAGGGAGCTGTTGTAATGCTGTTCAAAGAAGCACGTAATACACTTATAGGATGGGAATCTCACTGATCCAAGATCATCAAAGCATTCTTCAAAATAAAGAAGGAGGGAATCACAATGAATATTATCCAATGTTATGCACCCACTAATGATAGCAACGTTGACAATAAGGATCAGTTCTATGAGAGGCTGCAATCAATCAGTCAGTAACAACGTAGAACTTCGTACGTACGTACATCAGTTCGAGTTGCCACACCACATTAGCACAGAGATGCAGTTGTCAATTTAAATCCCGTAGTGGTAGAGGTAGTAAGAGTATAAGCAGTAATCGGAAACATTAGGGTTTGGAGATGTTATTTAAAGAGTATAATCCAGTGAAATAAATTTGGAAAGAGAATAAAAAGGGACACGAAGAATTCAGAAGATTAGAATTTGGCAGAAAACAAAGGGCATATGCACCTGCGCCATTGCAAACGATTTTCAGCCATGTCATTCAAGGTCTCTAACCATCGGTTGCTATCATCTCGCGGTCCCCAACCACGTAGTCTACACCTACCAACATGACTCAGTCCACTTGTCAATGACTTCATGGACTTGTGCCATGTTTTGGTCTGGCCGCCCCTAGTTTTCTTCCGACCTACTCCTATACCACTGAACATCGCACGTCGAGGCAGTCGGTGTTTGTGCATACGTAACGTGTCCCAGCCATCTCAACTGATGAAGTTTCACTACTTCACCAATGGATTTGCCATCCTTACCTAGTACCCGTTCCCTAACAACTGCGTTACTTACTCTATGGTCCCAGGATATATATATATATATATATATATATATATATATATATATACATGCTTGCATTGTTGCTTAGAGTGGTCAGAAGACTCGGCATTTTGTCAGCGTCTTCACGAAATAGAACTGTGTCACCAGCATATTCCAAGTCAACAAGTGAATCTCCTGGTAGAAGTTCAACCCCTGGAAATTTAGATGAGGAAAGTGTTATCGCTAAAAGTACGTCAATGGCAAAGTTGAACAAGAATGGAGAGAGTGGGCAGCCCTGACGAACACCACTTGAGGTAATCAATTCTGATGACAGTTAGCCATAAGCTCTCACTCGACCAGTTGTGTTCGAGTAGAGAGCCTGTATAAGGTTAATGTACTTCTTTGGTACTCCTTTCAGTGACAAACACTGCCATAGAACCTTACGATCAACAGAGTCGAATGCCGCCTTAAGGTCGAGAAATACTACCATTGTGGGGCGTCTGAACATGTGTCTGTGTTCTAGAACCTGACGTAGTGTGAATATCTGATCTATACAACCACGTCCAGGTCGAAAACCGGCCTGGTTTTCTCTAGTCTGCTCTTCACGAGCTTTAGTTAGGCGTCGAAGTATTATTGAAGCTAATATTTTAGACACTAAATTAGTCAAACTGATTCCTCTGTGATTGTCACAAGAGGACTTTTGTCCTTTCTTAAAAACTGGCACAATCAGTGATTGAGACCAGTCAGATGGGATTACGTCCAGTTCCCAAATTCTACCTAAGACCTCAGTTAATCTCACTGCTAATACTGGACCACCATCCTTAAAAATCTCAGGAGTAAACCTGTCAGGGCCTGCTGCTCTCCCTCGCTTCAGATTTCCTATGGCTTTTTCAACTTCGTAAATAGACGGAGGACCTACATTAACTTGCCATTCAGGTTGGATAGAGATCGTGGGAAACCGAAGTGTGGCTGAAGGCCAGTTGAACTGATCCCTAAAGTGTTCTGCCCATCGATCCAATCTCCTGGATTGAGAATGTATAATATGTCCATCTTTCTCTGAGATTGTTTCGCTAACAGTCGGTTTCCTAATTCCGGTTTCCTTAACGAGTCTGAACAATTGTCTGCTATTACCTATTGCCGCTGCCTTTTCCATCTCTCTTGCTTTCGCTACCCACCATTGCGTAGACTTCTTGTCAGCTTGCGCTTAAGCTGACTCCGCTCTTCATTATGTTCAGAGCCAGGTGGAATGAGTTTCCGAGCATCTATCAGTGCGATAGATGCTGCTGAGATCCAGTGTTGCTCCCTAACCTTCTGGTTTACCTTACTAGCAGATATCACTGCTGTTTCCACAGCTTTTCGGATATCATTCCATGCTGCCTCGGGGTGGGCATCACATACATGGCTGCCTAACTGTTTTCCTAGTTGTTCCTGAAATATACTCTTAGCTTGACTATCATTAAGTAGGCCCTAAGAGGTTTCCTTGCAGCGTCTTTCCTACGTCCAGTAAGACGCAAGCAAATACGCGCTCGCACTAGAGCATGATCTGAATCCAAGCATGTGCTCCAGAATGAGCGACAGTCTTCTATCGAGCCCCTCCATCGGTGGCTGATAGCGATGTGATCTATTTGGGTCCAACGTTGGGACGAATTAGGGGGTCGCCATGTTAAAAGATGTTTTTCCTTATGCTTAAAGTTAGTATTTGCAAGGAACAGGCGGTTATCTGAGCATAGCTGCAACAGACGGTCGCCATTATCTGTTCTTTGAGCCACGACACCATAAGATCCACCTAGGTGTCTTTCCCTTTCTCTTAGTTTACCTACTTGAGCATTAAAGTCACCGGCCACTATTACTACATCCGAGCGCCTAGCTTTTCGGAGAAGGTCGGAAAGCTTTCTGTAAAACTCATCTTTTACATCATCTGAGCTGCAGTCAGTGGGAGAATAGGCAGAGACGACGAAGAGGCAACGACGAGTGTCCCTATCTTTCCAGGTCCTTACTGTTCCGTTCAGTCGGACAGCGCACAAACGACTGTCTACTGGGATTCAGTCTGAGAGCTAGTTCTGCCCTAGGACTCAATGCTATACCTACGCCGGCAAATCCACGAGTGTTCGGACGTTATAAGCTCCAACATGAAGTTTAGAGCGCGGTTTCAGGAGACCAGCAATAACGTTTCGCGTACTCGAATCGGTTGCCCTAGCGGTGCGAGGTGATAAAAGGAAGTGAGAAGGGTTAGTCCTGGAGATAAGAAAGTCATTAAGAGGTGTAGGAAGGATTTGAATGTGACCAACTTGTTCTCGTGTGCTGCTACGGGTATGAGGGCTGATATCACTTCCCGGCTGCCCACACCGTGGAAGGGTATTTCTTGATGAACCTGAAAAGGGAATTGGATTAGTGTTGGTCTTAACGACCTGGGAGCGTGACCGCAGAGCCCAAGGGACAACAGCTTGAGGCCGGTCGCGCACGGCCTTTTGTGGGAGGTTTTTAACGTGTTAGCTCCGTTCTTCAAAGGGCCTTACCGCCGGAGACGGAAATCCGTGAGGTAAGGTGAGGTGTGACATTTTTAGCGTCGACCTTTTCTAACCCCTTCCTTCCTTGTTAGAAGGCAGCATCGCCGTAGATGCTGGTTGTCCGAGGGAAACACCTTACCGCTGTCACACCCCTCTACAGTCAGCAGTACGACTTCGCCCTCAGACCTTGAGTTGCTGCTTTTAGTCTTACCGTTCTCCAATCGACCTGCCTGGCATGGTAGAACCTACAGGAACATATATTCCAGCCAATATAGCTCGGTTGTGTCATCACGGTAGGCAAGCCCGACCACCACGTCAAGGTAGCAGCTACGGTTAGGAATCAATCATAGCGAAGTGCCCAAGAAAGGACCACGCCATCCTGATGAGAGCTAGACACTAAAGTCGGAATGTACAACACCGGATATGAAGAAATCAAGAGACGACATGGACTGAAAGAGAGAAATAAAAATGAGGAGATTTGCAAACCTATGTGCATTCAACAAATAGATGGTACAATATTTCCACACGAAGCTACAAGAGTCTCACCGAATCACACTACACAGAACCAGATTGATCATATTTGTATCAATAAGAAATTCAGGTCAATGGACGACATGAGAACCAGGAGAGGAGCTGACATAGCTTCAGATCACCACCTGGTGGTTGTCAAAATGAAACTGAAGCTAAAGAGACACTGGACAACTGAAGAAACAGTATTAGAAAGGTTTAATACAGCCTTTTTTCAAGATATTGACGATCTTAACAAATTCAAGATAACCCTCGGCAACACATTCGAAGCCTTACAAGATCTACTCGAAGAGCGAACTACTATGGAGGATAACCGGAAAGGGATCGAAGAAGCACTAACTTTGTGTCAGGACGTTCTGGGTCGTAATGAGCATCATCATAAGGAATGCATCTTTATCGAAACCATAAACAATACAGAAATTAACAACAACCGAACAAGAGCAGAGAAAGTCAAGGCAAAACTCGAATACACAGAAGCAAACAAGAAAGTGAAGAGGAGTATCAGAGCTGACAAACAGAAAGACGAAGATTTAGAAGTAACAACGGAAAAAGCTGCAAAAGAAGGAAATGTGAGAGCTATAAATGACTGGTCGTGAACAAATCAAATCTTCACACTACGGATCATTGTTGAGCAGTCAGTTGAATGGAATTCGTCACTAGACATCAACTTCCTTGACTATGAGAAAGCGTTCGACTGTGTAGATAGAAGAACCTGATTCAACACTATAATGTACTTCAGAAGATCGTCAGTAATAATATGAAGTTCATACAACGGACTACAATTCAAAGTCGTGCATGAGGATAGCTCACGGATACATTCCAAGTGAGGACAAATGTCAGACAAGGATGCTTGCTCTCGCTCATTCCCTTTCTTCTAGTGGTCGACTGGATCATGAAAACTCCACATCTCGAAGGAAGCACGCAATACAATGGACATCGCGAATGTGGCTAGACGATCTGGACTTCACATATGACCTAGCTCTTTTATTCCACACATATTATTATCACCATCTTTCATTTAATAATTTGAAAACTAATTGTAGTGTTTCATTTTTTTCGGATTTAATCAACAACTTTACTGACAGCAATTTTAACAACGAAATATTGAAGTACAGTGATGAATATATAGTTTACGTCATGAAAAGTGTTAATGTTACATTGAGTCTACCATCTGTTTATTACGAAAAGACTGATTTTAGATCCTTGTTCAATACTTGTAACTAGTAAGCTTTTTGAACTCGAATACGCGCATGGCATGTGCAACTAGGAACCTGGCACATGTTTATCACTTTAGATTGTTATATAAATTAGCACAGCGAGATAAAAGTATCAAGACACGTCCCAGAGTAAAGTAGTATCGACGTTAGAAGTAGTGGAAAAGATTAGGTGTGGAAAACAAAGAGTGTATAGAGATTTTGGCGCACCGGTTCCAAGTGAAGACAAAAAATGTGAACTTGTGAATGCGAATTATTCAGAACCCTTTCATCAACTGAAGTCTCTAACCATTGTTTGGAATAGTTAAGCGGACTCCAACCAGGTAGTCTACACTTACTAAGACGACTCAATCCAACTGTTAATGACTTCATAAATCCATGCTACGTTTTAGTTTGCTCTTAGTATTCCTTAAACCTATATCTATACTACACCACATCGACTGTCGAGATGGATGGTGATTAGGAATATGCAAAACGCCTTCAGTTGATGACGCACTATCGTATTAATTGACTTATCATATTTGCCTAGTAAACTAAGCCTAACCTCGACATTGATTATTCGATGGTCCTAAAATACACGAGCGATCATTTGAAGAACTCTATGACTGAATAATAGCAACCTAAAAAAAGACTTTATTTAATGGTCATGTTTCACAACCATAAAGTAGAAAAGTGAACTGTAGTACAGTAAATTCATCCCTTGGTTGGTGGATGGATATCTCGTACACACCACTAGTGATGAATGTTGGCAAAAGCCAATCCAGCGTTTTGAACGGATATTAAGACTTCGCCAAACACCAACTCATCAGGACTGATGAGATTTGACCAGCTGATTCAGTCAGTCAGTAACAACGTAGAACTTCGTACGTACGTACATCAGTTCGTGTTGCCATACCACGTTAGCACAGAGATGCAGTTCTCGATTCAAATCCCGTAGTGGTAGAGGTAGTAAGAGTATAAACAATAATCGGAAAGATCAGGGTTTGAAGATGTTGTTTAAGGAGTATAATCCAGCGAAATAAATTTGGAAAGAGGAAAAAGGACAAGGAGAATTCAAATTATTCCCCGTAAAGCAAATACTTGGGACCTGCTAAATAAAGCATTTTTGCAAGATATGTAGGATCCTGTGGATACACTCGATCTTTGTGGTAAACTTTTAAAAATAGTCAGAGACTTTGTACCTGGGTAGTTGCGTCAGTGCTGGAGGTTACATGGTGGATGAGAAAAGTTAAATATAGTATAAGCCAGAGGGGCTTAAACCAGCGTTAGTTTGGCTGCAAAATAATAAGTTTACAAAGCATTGGTAAGAGCATTTTGCTCTATGTTAATGAAACCTAGCTCCCCCTACCCCCAAAAAAAACTGAAGATGTTTTGAGACTATATTTGATTATCATCATGATTTTGTTTTTAATTGAACTGTTTCCAACGCTACTCTTGCTTACTTGTTTACTCATAGATTGCATACACTCTTTTCTTTTTTAGTTTTATCAGTCTACTTGCGTTGTAATTTTTTGTAAGATAGTACACCAGAACCTTTGTGGTAGAAATAAGTAACGAAAAATCAGTGTCTAAAACTATGCATATTACACGTTCACAGTATTTCGATGCAATAGGTTCAGATAACTAGAAGGAAATAATTATTTAGTTGAAACTTTAGACTTCACAAAAATTACTCAATCACTGACTTAGACAGAAATAAGACATACCAACAACGCCATCCACACTATATACATCAGGAAATATTTGGTCACGTCGCCTGAAAGCAGAATCAGTAGATGTTACGTGTCGTATAGAAATCGGAAGCCAGGAGTTGGGATCATTGGCCACTTCATTTGGATGTTCTTGAAAACGATGCAAGCCTAAACGATCCTCGGTTGCAAAACATGAGATACGTTGTTGAGCTCGACACTCGGAACATAGATGATGAGATTCACCGTAATGGTTTAATAATTCACACTGCTGTCTAAAATGAGTAATACGAACAGACAAAAGTATCAACAATAAGCAATAAAATTTCAAGATGAAATTAGCAGAGATGAAGCATAAAACAAAATAATAATAATGAGTGATTAAGGTAATGCTAAGACTGAGAATACGAAAAATCCACATTTCGGTTTTCGAAAAATACTCATAATATAACTACTCTTCAAATGCAGTGCCATATGCAACTAGGGTTTGTGTGTGGGTGGGATGTAGGATATCGCAAAAAGTTTACAGTTAGCAACATACGAGAAATAATGGAAGTGCGAATTCCCGAAGCATTCAAAAACTAAGATTGAAAATGTTTATCACTTAATAATTAAAAAACCGAGCTATAATAGATGTAGAACTAACTTATTAGAAGTCTGTAATTATTAATTACAATTAACTCATAAAACTAAGCTACGAAGCTCTTATTTTCTTTTGCCTAGGAAGTTTCCTTCATGTAGCTATGTGAAATACGTAGATGAAAAGAATGAATCTGTAATACCGATAGCCAATGCAGTAGGACGATAGAAAACAAAAGCATTTTTAATGACGATAATTTACGGTTTGAGGCTCTTTGTCGGCAGAAGTCGTCCATAATATGTGCGAAACGTAAACTCTGTAATTAAATTATTCCGCCATTAATAAAACTAATGCTATCGTTACTACTCTAGGACTTATCTTTACAATTCAACCTGGCTGTGTTAATCATGTGACAAGAGATTGACAATTTCATAGAAACAAAATGTAAAAACAAGGAGCTATGAGAGAAGTCGCGGGTCCTTTGTGAATGGAATAGTGTAAATTTACATTGCCTTACCTGAAAACCACAAACTTTCCTGTAGTCATGCAAAGATCACATAAAAAGTGAAGATCACGAATATGGGTTATTAAGTCTTCCATTTCATAAAATCGTTCTTTACAGAAATCGCACAAAGGATGGCCTTTCTTCTTGTTTTTATCCCATGAACGATGTTTTGTAAGGTCAGCTGGTTTCATAAGTACGAATTCACATGGCAAAAGCTAAACCGGTTAGTGAATTACGTATGAAAATACCCTGGCATATCGAATACAGAGATCACAATAAGAAAGCTGATGCTCCAAAGTAGTGTGTCTATTTAAGGCAGAGAGAGACTTTTTTTCTTCACCACAAATAGGGCAGACTGATTTAAGCATGTTTAGGTAGTGCTGTTCAATCTCCACATCAGGAAACATAAAATCAAACTTTGAGTCATGTCGAAGTAAGGACACGTCAATATTGTCGAACGGAACGAAATTCCTCATAATCGCAACCTGTAAAATTAAAAGTGATTGGAGTTATTATCACTTACTCTGTTAATATTCTGCCGACAAGTAGGACATTGTGAAAATTCAGGCTCATCAGCGCTTCCAAACTTTCGCAACTTCAGTACACATTTTGTACATGTAGGATGATTACATGATCCGTATGCAAAGTAGTCAATATCATCATGACAAATTGGGCACAGTTTACCAACGGACTCAACAACCTCAGACATCATCCACGCAAATAATAGTATTTAATGTTCCGCTGAGACCTTGCCTGAGACCTTGAAGTACGATGTCCAAAAACTTTTCTTCAGACTTCAGTCCTCAGTAATAAGGATAAGAGGTCTATCGACCTATATTAATCCTTGCAGTTTGTTATACTGTGTAGGTCTAATCTCGTTTTGAATATATCAACGGAAGGTGCTGATATTACGTGTTCCGGTAGAGAATTCCAGTAATTCACTACTCGGTGAGAGAAACGAAGCTCCAGACGTAAACGATTTGATCTCAGTTTTTGAACTTTCTCCAAATGTCCTCTCAAATGATCAGCCCTGGACGGAAGTAAAAGATAAGACATGTTAATACCAAGGCCATCGTTCAGTATACGATAAGCCAATATTAGATCACCCCGTACTCTACGGTAAGATAACGGAAATAAGTTGAGGTGTCTTATTCTGTCTCCACAAGATAGGTCAGATAGACCTTGTACCATCTTAGTACCTCGTCGTTGGACTCTTTCCAGCATCTCTGCTTCATACTTGAAGCAAGTACTAGCTGCTTGAATCCCATATTCTAAAAGTGGTCGCATACAAATCGGGTATAATAATCTAAACATTTCATCATCTAGATACCGAAAAGACCTACGAGTGGACCTTAATACCCTGTAGCCTTTCGCAGCAGCATCCTTACAGTGACCAGTGGTTTTGAGATCACTGCCTAATATGACTCCTAAATCTTTAGTTTCTTAATTTGGGTAGCACGAATCCACCTATTGTGTAGTGATACGATTCATCATAGTTATTTATTTGCATCACTACACTCTTAGTAGGATTTACTTCTAGTGACCACCTTTCCAACCATGCCACCAATGAGCTAAGATCATTCTGTAATAATACCCTATCCGACATACTGTGTATGCGTCTCCAAATCTTTATGTCATCAGCGAAGAGTAGGACGATGATTTCGCTATAGTTGGTAATTCATTTACATGAAGTAAAAATAGGAGAGGACCGAGGATTTTACCTTGGGGGACTCTACTTTTTACAGGTACCCACGAAGAGAGAGCCCCATTTACCCATACCCCTTGTCTCCTGTCACGCAGAAAGTTACTTATCCAATCTACAACTGCAAAATGAATTCCAAAACGTTCCAGTTTGAATTTAAGATCAGAGTGGGAGACTTTATTGAAGGCCTTACTTAGATCTATGAAGATCACATCCACAGGAATATTCTGATCTCTTGCAGCTGCCCAATCTTCTCTTGCAATGAGAAGATTTGTCAAGCATGACAGGCCTCTCCGAAAACCATGTTGTTCCCTGGAGAAAAGATTATGCTCTTCAACATAGTTTATAACAGATATCCGAATGATTTTTTCCATCAGTTGTACAACTGCACTAGTTAAGCTAAGGGGCCCATAGTTGCTAACTAAATCACTACTCCTAGCCTTATACACCGGGCTTATTATAGCGTCTTTCCAGTCTCTGGGCAGTGTGGACTGCCTTAGAGACATGTCAAACAGTATCGCTAATGGTTCACCAACTACATCTGATATGGCTTTCATAATCTAAGGATGAATATCATCAGGACCACTGGACTTATCAGGTTTGAGATGCTGAAGTAGCCTTAAAACAGTACCTTTCTCAATGACTAGGGGGTCCATCAGCAAGCCGCCGCGATCGCAGTGAATCGTTGGTCGTTCCTCATTACCGATAGAAAACACTTTACTGAAATATTCCGATAAAGCTTCAGCTTTCTCGGTATCATTTTCAGCCAAGATTAACGTATTTTCTTGTGTCAAAAGTGATGGAATTCCATCGCTTCACTGAGTTTGCTTTTTATATACGAGAATAACCGTTTCGGACAATATCTAGAATCCCTAACCAATTGTTTTTCATATGATCGTCTAGTCTTACTTAATAACGCTTCACAGGCATTCCTAATCTTACAATAACTGGATCTGTATTGTTCTAAGCCAGCAGAGATGAACATATTCCAGTGCTTCTCCCTTTTTCTAAGAAGTTTCCTGACTGTTTTCGTTATCCATAGTGGACTGTTATTCGGCCTTCGCGGTACCAGGTATGGTATGAACGGGGACGTAACTAAACTAAACTTACCTTTAAATACAGACCATGCTTCTCCAACTGATAAGCTAGTGTCTACAAAACCATACTGTCTTAGCAGCGCATTCCTGAATGGCTGATAAGTTGGCTTTCCATACATTTGGGCGAGGTGTAACGTGATCGTATAACATGTCTCTAGTTCTAAACATGAATGAAAAAAACAGTGTGATCGCTGTTTGTATGTGTCAAATGATTAATATGGAATAAAAGAGACCATCAATTGATCGCATCTTACAAGGCTTAACTGCTCTTGAAGAGCCAAAAGTATGCCAACAGCCTATTATAAGCAGTAGCGCACATAATTCTAGGATACATGTTGAGACAGGGCTTAAGTGAGGTTTTTAAGGGGTGTTCGGGAGTGTTTAAGATGCCATAAGTCATAATAAGGTCAATTCTGAGATGCATTCACCCCGCCTGGAGACGACTCGGTGATTTTTCGCCAACTTGGGAAGGTTTCTATTTCCGCCTCCAGTATTCATGAATCACCATGGGTTACGTTCCAATGTATTTTTACCTTTTTAAAATGAGTGAGGGACCACTATGTTTTCATATTTGAAAAAATGTTGAATGAGACTCAAGGATTAGATAGAAATTTCTACTGGTTAGTTAAATAAAAACTTTGAACGTTGTCCATCCCCCACCTCAGTCATAATATAGGTTTGCGGGGATAAATGGAGCAAACTTAACTTGCAAATAGTTTTTGTCCTTACTTGTAAGCTTTCATCGTTTCATTCAATTTACGCGAACAATTTCTTAAGTAAGGAATTTTGTTTAAGTTGACTTATTCCCGTTCACTATGCCCATATAATAATGATTATTTTTTACTGACTTTGTTGGCTGGTATTTTATAACTGCTTGCTAGCTTTGTATTTAGGCTCCTGATAAGTTGTAGATGTAGCTCTCGTAAATGTGGGTTGTGTGCGGTGAATGAAATGTTTGGATGTCTTGCCGGTAGATCGGCAGCAGCAATAAAAATCCCATCAAGCGTCCTCTTTATTCCATGAATTGAATTGTCAGTCCATTCATAGTTAAATGATCATTGAATGGAAAGTCAAAGTTGAAATGTCGACATCCTAACAGATAATGAAAGGCAGTGTAACTAACCATTGCCAACTGCCAAAACAAAACTAATGAACATACCAGGAGAAATGACAAACAAATCCGTTTTTAAATAATTACAGCGCTCACTGTTGCATTGACACAGTTACGATTTCAGTTATGTTTATTGTAGTTGGATATTCCAGATGCCACAGGTGTTTGGAGTTTGACAACGCTTTAACCAGTAACACCTTCAATTATGAATCGTACCTACCAAGTGAAATCAAAAGACAGAAGAGAGAAAGTTCGAAGATATATTTGATAGGCTATCGAGGATCGGCATTCCCACTCGTGATCTGGTGCGGATGCATGACCGAGTGCCTTCAGCTAGGTGAGTCCATTAAAACATGTGGTCAGCATCCAATGTCGAAAACTTACAGAGGTATTTATTTGGGGGAGTTATTTACCGCTACAGATCACTTCCCCCCTAACGGGGTGGTGATGACCCTAAGACGTCGCCCGCCGGAATTTTAAACCCAACGAATTTGTCTTTGACCAACACCCTTCTGATAGCTCGCTAGGTTTACCAGTACAATATAGTAAAAAAATAATGTACAGTGAAAATTTTTGGTTCCTCGTAAACCTCATCGGTCTTTTCATCGTCTTTTCCAGCCATCCTGGAAAAACAGAATATGTAAGTGTATGTCGAAATACACTCGTAAGCGCTTTGAGACACCAAGTGGGCGAAAAAAAGAAAATAAACTCACGTACATGTGATAGCATAAAAACGGATATTACAAAATGCTTTTTTGTTTTTTTTTAAAAAACAATTTTGGTAAACATATTAGCAAAATAATAAATATATATAAATATAAGAATAAAAATTGATTTTTTAAAATATGATATATATAATACCATGTAAAATCGAGATAAAAAAATGTTAACTGGTGTCTTACGGGCAATATTCCTTTGAATGTTCTGGAAATCTTATTCTTCTTTCAGAACGCGTTGTTCTGAGTTCATTTTCAAAGTATAATTGAGTGTGTTGGTTGTTGGATGGGGTATTATAAGTGTCGGAGTCGTGCTGTGCAATTGTACCGAAGGAAAATCGACATAGATAGGATTTTCTTCTAACTACGCTGCTTTGGGGCGATCAATGCTGATGCTATTGTTGGTTCCGTCCTTATCGATTATATACTACTTTGGTTTGCGTTGAAGAACCTTGAAAGGTCCTCCGTATGCTGATTCCAAAGGTCGTCGATGCGAGTCTCGACGTACGAAGACGTGTGTACTATGTCGTAAGTCAGGTTGAACGAAAATATCAGTTGATTGAGGTCAAGTTGGAACAGGTTTAACTGAACGCATTGCGTTTGTAAGCCTGTTAGTGTAGGAGGTTAGATCCATGTTCGTTGAAGAGGGTGAAGGATCTACGAATTCTCCTGAAATTCGAAGTGTTGTTCCATAAACCAGTTGAGCTGCTGTATATCCAGTGTCGGCTTTCACGGGTGGAAGAGCGTCGGTTCATTGTGAAACGTTCGCAGCTGATAGCGAAGCTTTTAGTTGTCGGTAAAAACGTCCTACCAACCCGTTTGTTTGTAGGTGGTTGGCAGCCATTCGGAAGCTAGTGATTCCTGCTAATGTGTTCAGACAACGGAAAAGTTTAGATTCGAACTGACGTCCGCGGTCTGTAGTGATAGTTGAAGAGCAACCAAAGTTTGCTACACATCGTTCGATGAAGGCGCGGGCCACTGTTTCAGTAGTAATGTCATTGATGTGCACTGCATCTGGCAATCGAGCGAAACGTTCTACACAAATGAAGAGCTAAGAGTATCCGTTTGAGTCTGGTAAAGGTCCTA